TTCAGGCATTGCGGCGAGCAGCGAGGGGATGCCGACGGCTCGGGCACGAGCACGCCAGCGGGGAAAGTGTCCGCCTGGATTTGACTCCAGGATAGCCTCGGAAAAGAGGCTGCCTCTCTCAAATGGGGCCTGTCCCCACCTTGAGCCAAAATGGCAACGGAAGGAGGAGGAGGATGAGGAGGAGGAGGAGAAGGAGGGAGGAGGAGGAGGAGGAGGAGGAGGAGGAGGAAGAGAAGGAGGACGGGTCGCCTAAGCCCTTCGGGGGGAACCCTCCACCCCTACCCTCCTCTGCGCGCGGCCGAAGAGGGGGTGCGCCTCGATCGGCCACCGCCACCGGCAGCGGGAGGATCGTCGTCCAAATCGTCGAACTCATGATCGTGATCGTTGTTGCCCTCCTCGTTGCATTCGTCGTCGTTCTCGTCGTCGGCGTCGTTCTCGTCGTCGGCGTCGTCAGAAACGTCGTCGTCGTCGCCTCCGTCGTCGTCGTCGTCGTCGTCGTTGTCCTCGTCAGCGTCTCCTCCGTCGCCCTCATGGTTGTTGGCGTCGAGGGGATTGTCTTCCCTGTCTTCCTAGCCCCCGTCGCCTTCGTCGCCCTCGTCGCTGGCGCCGAGCGGGAGTGGGGGGGCGTCTCGATCGGCGGCCACCGCTGGCAAGGGGCGAGAAAATCCTGGCGTTGCAACTGTTTTTCGCTAGGCGTTTTCGCCCGGCTTCGGGCCCTGGGATCATCACATCTCAATCGGGGCTGGAACATGCAATACACAGATTGGATATATTGGGCTCCGGCCGTGTTTTCTCCGGATGGTTTTGAGATATGCGGGGCCCCCCCAAGTTCGGGCCCTTTCCCAGGGGTCGGTTTTTCATCCCGAATATTTTTTGACGGTCCGGGGCCTGGCGACGGCCCGCGAAAGCCGAAAACAGCAGAACACCTCCCGTCATGTTTTTCTTTTCTCCTAAGGACGCGAGCATCTCTGGGATTGTTTTCGCATCATCGGTTCTCAAGGAATGGGCAGCGCGAGCCGTACTGGCGCGGGCCCGGTAGGAGGCATGGCTGCAGGAGACCTCCCCGGCAGAGGGGGAAGAGGGGGGCCCGGGGTGAGGGTTCAGGCCGACCCCGGATCTTCAAGGCATTGTTTTTTGGCGGCGCGCTGGTTGGAAAGGGGTTGGCATCTTAGGTGGCGGCCTTACCTCCAAAGATCAGTCGGGGGCGCGCAAACATGGTTTAGCGATCCATGGATTTGGCGCGCCGTCGCCAAGTCCATGGATCAGGGGAGGCGCCCTCCCCAACACGAGGCCGGTGCCGCGTCGCTCGGCGGCTGCAATCCGCGATGTCCCAGGGAAACGGGACCCGTCGCTGATCCACGCCCCCTTCATCCATGCTTGCGATCTTAGGTGGCCGCCTGACCTCTGAAGATACGGCCCTCGACTTCTGAGAAGCAGGGGTGCTTCTGAGAAGCCTGCCCCCGTCCGTCCTGGCCCCCGCTGCGCGTGGCTGAGTTTTCAAGTGGCGACATCCAGGCCCGAATCGACGCTGCATCGACGCTATCTCACCGATTGCCAAGGGCTGTGAGGCTCTGGCGCAATCCAAGAGCGGGATCACGGGGGTGTGCACGGCTCCCATGAGTTGCTACCGATAGATTCGCCATCATGCGAGGTATCAGGTGGCGACATCCGAAGCCTCCACTCACCGATTCCCCTGAATCGATGGGAGCCAGGGGTGGGGTTCGGATTTCGCGACGTGTTCGGCGACTTCCGAACCCTGCCCCCGCCGCCCATCGAGTTGCCTGAATCGTGGGTCGGCGAGGGTAGGTTTCGGATTCCGCCGTCGAGCTTTGCTGTTGGCATGATTTTACGCGTGCTTCTTCAACGTGGGCTGCGCTCTGTGGACATCCGCCCAAAGCCGCCTCCGAAGAGCCAGTGGGGGGGGGGGTCATCCACACGACCGGCGAGGGGGGAGGGGGGGGTGGAGAAGGGGGGAGGGGACGGAGTGGGGGCGGCAAGCTAGGTGCGCAAGCGTCTTATCTGACGTCCTACCCCCCTCCCTCCCATCCCTTACCATGGCGTAGACCTCCTCTCTGTTCGCGCAGGCGGATGTCGCAGCATGGCCTAGCATCACGTAGCATACCATGGCGTTGGAGACCAACGTGCAGCATGACACTGCATGGCGTGGCATTGCGTAGCCAAGCGCTGCATATCACAGCATTGGAGGGAGAGGGGGCGGGGGGCCGGGGCGGCGGGGCGAGGGCGAGGGGTAGTGCAAGATCGGTCCGCACCTAGCCGGGACCTCGGCTCGAATCGGCACGCGTGCGGGGCCGCACCGGGCCGCCCTGGCACGAAGCCGCATTCGAATCGGGTCGACCGCGCCAAGGTGCCCAGCAGGGCCGTCCAGTCGTCGGCCACAACGGCTCGCTGGAGCCTCGGAGTCGCAGCGGAGCGGGCGGGCCGGAGCACACGTCGGATCGGATCGGTTGGATCGAGCTTGAGCCGGGAGGGGAGGGGGAAGAGAGGACGGGACGAGGAGGCAGGGGAGGAGGGAGGCATGCGCTCTCGTCGGCTCAGATGTGGACTTTCTCGCCTCGGGATGCGTTCCAGCAGCCGCGCCTCGTCGGAAGCGTTCAGGGGGGGCCCAGATCGACCCAAACGCCGGCCCGAGCCGTGGCCAGGGGAGGGGGTGGAAAGGAGGAGGAAAGGATGGAGGGAGGGAGGGAGGGAGGCAGAGGAGGAGGAGGAAGGGGGGGGGAGAGGAGGAAAGTATGGCGCATCGTCGTCGCTACAAGGGGAGTGGGGGAAGGAGAGCGAGAGGAGAGGAGAGAAAGATCCAGACCTCCTGGCGGTGTGCAGAGCCACCACGAAATGTTTTTGTCAAGGCTCGGCCTCCGGGGGCCCTCATTGGCCCCCGGGGCTGTCAGAAAGCGTGGGGCGCTGACGAGCCCAGCTTGGCGCTGGGGCTCTTCGAGGCCGGAGTGAAAATGGCGGCGGCAGGCGAACACAGCAAGTGCACGAGTGACACGACTCTATGCGTCCAGTGCGATGGCAAACAGGACCACGTGCACGCGGCGATCGCTCGACCCGATCAGGGCTCAGCGACTCCTGCCGTCCCTCGACTCGCGCTGGAGCGGCCAAGCTTCTGCTCTACATTTCCCTGGACATCTTCGGACTTACCTGGACTTGCCATGACTTGTTCGCGTCTCCCCTGATTTCTCTGGCATGATCCCCACAAGTCCATTGGCGAAACACTGTCAAGTCCCAAAGGATCCCCCAAGGATCTACAACACCTAAGACGGTGCTAGGACGAGAATTAATCCGTTCCAGAACGTTCTCTGAGAAGGCCGCGGCGCCCGAGACATCCTCCAGAACCGCTGGATCTCAGAGATTCTTGATTTATCCTCACCTGATCTCATCCTCGTCCTGGCTTCGTCTTAAACACCCAAGTGCTTACCCCGAGGACGGCATTTTTATCCTCAGTCGCTTTCTTCCAGCCCCGGGGCCGGGGGAGGGCGCCGAGAGCCCGAGATCAGCAAAAAACCTCTCAGGACCCCTTCCCCCCCGGCGACCCGAGGAATCCACGAGGCCCCCCCGCGAGGCCCGAGAGAGCCCTGCCCGCGCAACAACAATTCCCCTTCCCCAAAAAAAGATCCCGGGCCGTTTTTGTCGACGCTCCCGAGCTCGGGCAGGGGCCGCGCGAGGCCGAAAAAACAGCGGCACGCCTCCCGTCACGAATTTGTCTCATGGCTCGGGGGAGGGGGGCGCCTCGGCTCGTGGCCCCGGCCTCGTCACGCCGTGGACGAAGGGGCCCCGGGACACACAAATACATACACACAAATAAAACTATTCGCCATACTTCCGTATATGTTCTGGATGTTTGTCTTCCCCCCCCCATATTTTCTTGGGGATCGACGATGAATCGTGTCTGTGTGTTCTTTCCCCTCCTGAGTGGAGCAAAACACGCGTCCAGTGGGCACGGCGTGGCTCGAGGCGCGCGCCGCGCTGCTGCGGCGTCGCGCGGCTCGAGGCCTCACCTCACACGGCAGGCAGAGCACATCCGCCCCCGTGAGAACCACCCCGACGTGACGAACGAACAGCACACACCCATACCCAGAAGGGCGGTCGTTGGGAGGAGGACTCGAGGCGTCGCGCGGCTCGAGGCTTCGCCTCAAACAGCAGGCAGAGCACATCCGCCCCCGTGAGAACCACCCCGACGTGACGAACGAACAGCACACACCCATACCCAGAAGGGCGGTCGTTGGGAGGAGGACTCGCCATGGGTATGGGTGCGGGTTGTCGGACCCTGGGGCA